GAAAACAAAACAGGCACCTTATAGGCTGGTGGGGCAGCCATGGGATGTCCAAATAAAAGGCTTTCGGTCTGAGGAAAGCTCGGGAGGATATTGTGGTGAAGAAATGTGATGTGGTCAAGTCCAGTCAGAGTGCAGACATTCTTCTGAAGGGGTAAGAGTGGTCCTAAAGCTGAGCCCAGGACCTTGACGGCCCAGCGCGCCCGTGCACATAATTGGCGCTCAGTGAGCTTAGCTGTGAGAGGCATCCCTGTCTCAGTAACAGACTGGGGAGAGGAAGGTCGGATGGGGCTGCCAAGCCTGGGTTCCCTCTTACTCCGAACGTCAAGACGAATGTGGGTGAAAGGGACCGAGGTCAGAAATTACAGACGGGAATTGGGGCATGCACAATGGCTTCAGTGGAGGACGCTTTCCTGTATCTGGGACCGTGGACGAGTTGGCTCCCGCCCAGTTCATTTTATAGTGCCCCCAGAGCAGCCGTTCCAGATGTCGGAAAGGCAGGCCGCAGCTCCATCGATCCCAGGTTTAATGAGGAATGTGATTCTTTCATACTAAATCACGGTTTGGCCCGATGATTCCAACCACTCTAGGGAGGGGCAGGCTCGACAGGACAAAGGCGAAAGGGAGCACCCACCCCTGCACGCTAATTCACTTCTTTTTTCTTAAATTCCCAATGAGATGCAACCTAAACATGGAAATGGTGTTAAAACAATTCTATGACACCTCCCCTCATCCATCGTTCTGGGAATTGGTGTCATGTTTTATTCATTTATCTCTTCTTAATGCTTATCCATCCTTTCCATTTTTAGGGCATTATTTGAAATTTAAAATATAGAAACCCAAATGTCTATACTGCGACTGTGGCCAATATTTACTGGTGTATCTTTCTTGCCTCTCTGCCATCTTCCCTGAGAAATGTATTTTTTCTGCCACTGAGTCCTGAGGTAACTTCTTTTCTTCCATAGGCCAACAAAAGCACTATGAAGGGCATGAAATTCATTAGGAAATGGTGCTTCTTGAAGATAAAGGGACCGTAAAGGGAGATAAGACTTCTTGAACAAATACTTTTAATGCAGTTCATCATAATCAGCATACAATTAATGATTATGTTATGATTATGTTTATTTTCAAGGTGGAAAATGTCTACTTTTAGAGAACTATCCTACCATTTGTGTTTGGTAGATGGAAACGGACATCACTTTTTAAAAATTTTTTTTATTGCCACAGGGAATGTGTGCTCACTGAAGAGAGACAGAGAAAGGGAAAACAAGAAATCATCCTCCCTCCCCTCCCCCCCAGGAGGGTATGGCCACGGTGCAATTCCTTTTCCATCATTCTCCTCTCAGGATTTTGGGCATGCATGTACACACACCCAGTATAATTTTCTTTTCTTTTTTTTAACTTCAAGTTTTATGGGTAGTTTTAGTTTTTTAAAAAATTTTAATGTGATTTATCTTTATTCATTTATTTTCTAATTTGACCACAGAGGGACAGAGCAAGCAAGAGAGAGAGAGAGAAAGTGAGAAAGCAAGCCGCCAGATCTGGGACTCGAACCAGTCAGCCATGTGGGAGTTCAGCACTCTAAACCACCACACCACCTGCCAGTCCCCCCAACATAATTTTCAAACCACCAGATCTGGGGCTCAAACCATAGTCAGCCATGTGGGAGTCCAGAGCCTGAGCCACTATGCCACCTGGTGGCCCCAGAATAACTAATATTAATGAGATTTTCTTAGAATTGCAACATTGACAGAAAAGAAACTAAGAATATGAAGCAATCTTACATAATGGCTGCTTTAGTTAGTAGAAGTCCAATGACTTTGTTTTATATTTATAATACAAACTAGTAGTATGTTTAATTAGAGGTTAGCAAGGCAAATATGGGTCAGGAGCAGCTATTATGGACTTTATTTTCCCAGAGAAAGGAGAGCTCCTGCCAAGATACGATCAAATATACACACTGGTTCCCTGTAATTTGGTAGATACTTCCCCCAGCTTCCAGTCGATAACACCATCAGCCACTTTCAGAGCTGTGCTTTTTACTAAGTTACGACCACGAAGAGAATCCAGAGCTTAACATTTGGGTTCGTTTTCAAATCCATGCAGGAGAGAGACAGTGATGCTGTTTGACCTTGTTTATATTTTCCCTTTTGGTACTGACTTGCAAGAAAATCCAAGCAGACAGGTTGCAAAGTTATTCTGCCAGCCTTCTGCGGAAGCCATGATGCGGCCAGACTCATTATGATATTCAGCATTCGTTCCTTTCAAGAGTAAGCTACATGGCATGGCTTATTAAAGCTTCTTACGGGTTAAAAATAGAGTGCTTTTTATAAACATTCTGATCTAAAAATAGGTATAATCATGTGTCACTTTCAAACACACATGTGATTTTATGTTAAATAGTAGTTCGATTGCTCCAGAACTTTTCTGATGGCTTGTGGAGCAGCTGAAATCTTGCTGATTGACCAGTCCACCCGAAGACATCTGGGCGTCTGGATTCTGTGCAACTAAATTTACAGGAGGCCTTTTCCTGTCTCTATCACATTAAATATATGCTAGAGTGAGGCTTCACCAGACACTATCAAAGGGTCTCAGGATGTGTCCTCAAAACAAATAGACTCGTGCCCACGCTGGTATTGTCAGTCACCCCCCTTTATCATTAAAAATATACAGAGCCTGGACTGGCAGGTGGTGTGGTGTTTAAGGCTCTGGACTCCCACATAGCCAACCGAGGTTGAAGTCCCAGACCTGGCGGCTTGCTTTCTCACTTTCTCTCTTCCTTTCTCTGTGTGTCTCTCTCTGATCAAATTAAATAATAATAACAAATAAAACTAAATAAAAATGATTCTTGGTAAAAAGCATGTGGAGCCTGTGAAAAGGCTATTCCCTCTAAGTCTGAATGTTTCTTTACTGTCTCTTGTAATGTGCTTGAATTCATCAGCGTGCCTTGTCCCTTGCACCACGCAGATCTGAAAAATGCAACGCTGACCTACATTTTTACTCGGAGTCTGGCATGACTTGGGAGCCACATGGGAAGTGGCTGCTGAGACAAAGTGTACCCTCCTTGTGGCAAAGCCAGCACTCTGCTAGCCCAAGCCCTGTCTCCCGCTCCCTTGGCAGGAAGCTCTCCTTCTGCTGTCTCCTCCCCTCCACAAAGAAACTTGGCCTGCCCAAGAACTCGCTGTGCTCTCCCTGGAGCCGTGATAGGTCTTCTCTTTTCTATCACAACTCCCTCCTGTCCCCCATCCCACCTCACTCTTACCTAGAGCATGTCTTTCCGTGAGGACAGAACTCCTTGCCTTTTTTTTCCCTAAAGATGATACTGTGAATTTTTGAGGTTGCATATATTTTTTTTTCCCTTCACTGTTTGGCAGCTCTTAACAGAGGACAATACCCCACTTGCCAAAGATTTTGTTAGAAAACTTCAGGCCCTTCCTACAACCTTCTGGCAGGCAGTGCCTAGACTGGATCGAGGACTTCTGATTTCCATAGCTCACAATTCCGCAGATCTAAAGAGGACTTTGCTTGTTAGTCACATAACTTTCTAAATGAGCTGGGGTGCTTACCATTCTGCTTCGAAGGGAGCAGGAACATGGCTGAGATGAACAGTAAACGTCACCGTGAAATCTAAGGGAATTAAAATTCAGTTTTAAAATTGTCACCAAGTTTCCTCTTTGGAATGGAGAAAGCGTATTTAAAACTTTTCTCATTATGGACTAGGACTAACATTTAGGACATTTCTTCTCTCCTTTAGTTTGTGGGAAAAGGTGGAATTCATGTATGAATTTATTTTGGTGTTAAAAAAAAAATGGAAATCCACGCATAGTTCTTGTCCTGATAAGTGCTGGCCACGAACTTTTTGAAGAAACCCTCCCATACCTTTGAAAAGCAGTAGGTGTAAAGCGTGCCTTGTGACCTGTGCTCATAATCTGATTTTCTTTTTGTTATTTCTGCATTCAACAGGCCGAACTGTGTTACTATCCTCTGTGGCCGGACTAGTGCGTCTTAACGCTTTTCATCCCTGTAACAGGACAACCATTAAATGCATACCAAGTCCAAGGGCAGTCGCAGTTTGTACGTGGCAAGGCCATTCCGAAGGGCCCGTTCGTTTTCACACGGCCCTGACTGATCTGCGTTCCGCTCCTGCCTCTCGTCGCAGGTGCCAGGACGAGTGTCCGGTTGGGACCTACGGCGTCCGCTGTGCCGAGACCTGCCGGTGCGTCAATGGCGGGACCTGCTACCACGTGAGCGGCGCGTGCGCCTGCGAGGCCGGCTTCGCTGGAGAGCGCTGTGAGGCGCGCCTGTGCCCGGACGGCCTCTACGGCATCAAATGTGACAAGCGGTGCCCCTGCCACCTGGACAACACTCACAGGTGACTGTCAGCTGTGCCTGCAAGGAGGAGCCCCGTTCCGGTGGGAATCTTGGTGTCTGGGATTTGGAGAGGAATTGACAAGAGTTTCCATTCCAGGACTTCCTGTCTCTGGGCTCTCCTGGAAAGGAGTCACCAAGGGAAAGGAGACTTTCACTTAGTGAGCGATGGCCCGTGTCCAAGGGGAAAATTCGGTGGTGGTCAGTGGATACTAAATTCGTCTCTGTTAATGACCACTGGTAACACTGAAATTTGCTGAGGTTGGCAGAACTGTTCCCTAAGAGACGATCCGGTGACAGTCCCTTAGAAGCAAAGATGCAATGAGCGATAAAGGGTTAAGCTGAGTGTAGGAGGTAAAAAATACAAAATGACTCCACTGCAGCATCTTTTACTTGACAGTCCATCTGTGGAGGGGAAAAACGCTAGGAAGAGGAAGTAGGCTGGGGGGGGCGTTCTGTGAGCTGCTCACATGTGGCCGTCACATGTGAAATATCTTTTCAGAATGGATTACCCTGTCATGGAGCTCACAGGGGTCTTTTAGCTCAAAAATCTCTCGAAGAATTTGAGAACAGGAAACCACGATCCCACCCACCCGAGTGTACCTTGTCTGCCTCTGAAAATATCTTCCCAGCCCCTCTCTTTTTTTTTTCCCCCTCCTCCAAGGACCAGATACATACAAGTTAAAATTCTGGCCTTATTTGCAGACTGCTGGAAAAGCTGAGTTGGACAAAAATGGAGTGTATTATATAGCAGTTGGGATGTTGCTAGATGTACTTTTGTTTGCTTTCCGCATAGCCGTTGCTTCACTTATACCTCTGAGAGGTAACTTGTGGCCACGTCAAATTCCAAATGCACAGAAGTTCAGAGCACAGAGAAACATGTGGTTGGTCTCGTCCTCAGACCATTGTTAAGAACAGGAAGATGGACTCTGTACTGTGCATGAGTGTGTGTGTGTGCACATGCAGATGTGTATGCAGGAATACATTTGCTGGGATATATGGAGAAAGTATTCTCAGTGTGATTCAAGTAACTTTATGAGCCACTTTTAGTCAACCTTTGATTTTCTTCATTGACAAATATTACCATTCTTAATAAAATTTTAAAAATGTTTAAAAGAGAAAAATAATACCATTCTTGGGGCTGGCAGGTGGTGTGGTGGTTAAAGGCACTGGCCTCCCACATGGCCGACCGTGGCTCAAGTCCTGGACCTGGGGGCTTGCTTTCTCATTTGTCTTTCTCTCTCTCTCTGATTAAACTGGAAAATAATAATAAGTAAAGTTAAATAAAATAATTTTTTAAAAAAGAAAATACTACCATTCTTTTTTCACTTGACAAGTTTAGGTAAACATTTGAGGAGTCAAAGTGAAAAATGAATAAATTCAGTAGAGTTTTGTTTGTTAACTCTGCAGAGTTGAAGGAGCCGGCAGGATTAGGGAAAAGCCCTGAGTCTGGCCACCTTTCCTGCTGTACAAGGCTTGTTGTGACAGAAACTAGGCTGCTACAGCAGGAGCTGAGAGCATTATCCCAGGGCAGTACTTCGTTGTACATAGACACAGCTAAAATCAAATGGAAGAACAAACAAATAAAGGAAGAGCTCCCCTGTGAGGAGACTGGGGAAACAGAGGGAAAGTGCTGTTGGAATTTGGTACCATGTTGGTAGTGGCGAGGATACCAGTGGAGAGTCAGGTCATTGATGTCAACACTAGGATAATTTTACATAAATCGCGGGTACCTATGCATGTATGGTTTACTGAAGAACTAAATGAGATTGTATGACAGCCACACAGCAAATAACACTAAGATCTCTCAAAACATTTACATCAAGTTAGATTAAAAACAACTAGCTAGGCCAGCAGGTGGTGTGATGGTTAAGGTGCTATATCACACATGGCCGACTCCGTGGTTCAAGTCCCGGACCTGTCAACTTGAAAACACACCAGGTGTGTGTGCATGCATCCCCAAATCATGGAAGAAATGGAATTGCAGCATGGCCATCTCCACCTGGGGACTGATTTCTCACTTTGCCTCTCTGTCTGTCTCTCTCTGGCAAGCACACACACTCTAGTAACAAAAAATTAAAAAATTTTTAAAAATTTTAAAAAAAAGGAAAGAAAACTAAAAAAAAAAAAAAAAAATGCTTATTAAACACTTCCCTAAAATTTGAAAGCAATGTTTAAAGATTAACTTTAACAAATTTCTGTTAAAACCAGTTGAATGGGTCCGGCTGGTGGCATGGTGGTTAAGGTGTTAGACTCCCACATAGTCGACTGTGGTTAGAGCCCAGACCCTGCGGCTTGACAGTTAGCCAAGTGTGTGTGCATGGGTGTCAAAAATCCTGAAAGGCGAATGAAGGAGAAAGGATTGCAGTGTTGCCATACCCGCCCAGGGAAGTGATTTCTCACTTTCCCTCTCTGTCTCCCTCCAGTGAGTGCACATATCCTATGGTAAAAACCTAAAAAACAAAACAAAACAAGAACAAAAACACACAAAAAACAACAGTTGAATGTTGATTATATGACTCTATCTTATAGAATTCACGGACGGATCTTACTCTTATATCTTGAACCTCCATGTAAAATTTCTGAAAATATGTCTCTGAACTGAAAGGCATAAAATCTTTGTATGAATTGAAAGTCTAGCTTATTCACTTTACCATTTAACCAAGCTAATAGAGCTTTACCGGTAAATTATCCTGGAGGCATTATTTTATTCTAAAGCCTTCACTTTACCGGTAAATAATCCTGGAGGCATTATTTTATTCTAAAGCCTTTCATTATGGGTAATGAGATAACTAATGCAATGCATAAGTTAATATTTACATTGCTGTTAGATAAGCTTTGAGTTTATAGGTGTACATATTGAAAGCTTATGGTTATGGGCCAGCCGGTAGTATGATAGTTAAGCAGCTAGATCCTACATGGCCAGCTGCACAGTTTGAGTCCCAGACCCAGCAGCTTGAAAAACTCCCCAAGAGCATGCATGTGCGTGCCCAACAGTCCTGAAAGAAGAGAGAAATGGAGCAGAGGGGATTGCTCATGCCTACCCCTCTTATCGGGTGCTTTCTCACTTTCTCTCCCTGTGTCTTATCAGCAAGATAAGTTCTGGCAAGTTTAAAAAAAAAAGTGTCAGCTTTTGCTGCATTAAAAAAATTTTCTTAGTGTCATAAAACAATAAGCTTATTTATTAGCTGAGGACTTTTTCCTTGGCTGTTTGGACTGGGTTCAACTTGGTGGCTCTTCTGCTGGTTTCCCTGTGTTTAGCTGGCAGATCAATACATTGGCCCCGGGTATTCTTACTGACATGTTGGGTATTTGGCTGAGCGAAGGAGCCACGTGTCTCCAGCATCGAGCAGGCTAGCCTGGGTTTCTTTAAAGGTGGCGGCTTCCAAAAGCAGCCAGAACCAGGGAAAGCCCCAATTATGTACACACCTTTCAAGCCTTTGGTTTTGTCATGTTTGCTCATGTGCCTTTAGACAAAACGAGTCACACAACCAAGTTAGAGTCAACATACTCATCCTCTTAAGAAGTGCAAAATAATGTATTGCCATTTTAATTTTGTAATCTATTATATGAATTGTTCATTATAATAATATTATATCTATTATATGAATTTAAATATATTTATAAATAATATTATTTAAAATTTTAACATTAATTTTGAGCCAAAAGATATCCACTGTGCCCTGGGCTTTCAACTGAAAACTAACTTTTATGGTGGAAATGGTTACAAATTAGAAACTAAAATTGAGAGTCATGAGATTCCAAATGGAATATGTATATGAATTCTTGTTATTAAGGACTTAAAATAGCTAGATACACCTATTTACAAATGTCACCTGATTGTCATTGCATTTGAACATTAATAACATTTAAGGAAATGAATAGAAGGAAATTCAATGACTCAGTCTATTTTAATCAGTATCATATAGTATTGGACTCTTGTTAAAATTTATTGTCTTGAAACACTTACCAGAATGTGTGTGTGTAGTTGTATGTGTGTGTAAAGTGACAACTATTCCCATGTGTGCATAATTCTGCTTCATATACACAAAGCAATCTGTTCTTTAGACAGAAGACAGGTATTGAGCATCTTACCTTTCAACCTCCAATCTGTTGCTTGCCTACATCACGTAAATCTCATTACCAATTAATCTGCCTGCATGAGAACCCATAAAATGCCTCCAAAGTGCTCTGGCTTCCTCCATCTAATTACAAATTGCAGAATACTAATTTTGGTGTCAATCAATCCGAGAACCAGTGTGCTGTTCTAATGCGCTCTGGGGGGCATTGAATATCAATTTCTCTGTCAGCCTCTTGGCTTAGTTTAATTCAATGCCCCCCCCCAAATTGTCTATTTTGTTTCATATTTATGTCTACACCATGAAATTTCTATTTTTTTAAAGTGTAAAGTAATATTTTCTACCATAATGTTCCTTTCTTTTATAGTACAGGGGGTCTTCAAAAAGTTTACGGAAAATGTGTATTATGAAAACCTGTGCAGGAACTTGACACCAGAATAAACTTGCACTTTAATTCCACTTTTTGCACAAACTTTTGAGTTCCTCTTGGACGCTAAGAAAGGGTACACTACCTGAACTGACCCATAACTTGAATACTTCTTTTCCTGTTCTTAAACATGGAATGTTCCTGAAGTAACCTTTTATTTGTGCCTATTTTTTAGATGATACAGGTTTTTTACTGTCCCTGTTGGCCATGTTATCTATGCTTAAATCCTAAATTTTAGCATTTCTCTTTCATACCTAGTCCCCCTAGGAGGCTGCTAGCACATTGGCTCTTTCTTTGGGGTAAAAACAAACCAACCTGGGTTCTAGTTTGATTCTGCCACTACCTATGTGAGACTTTGAATAAATTACCCTCTGTAGACCTGTTTTCTTATCTGTAAAACGGGATCCTAGTTACCACTTTGGGTGATTGTGAGAACTGAATAACGCACGTGGCGTGCTTAGCATGGGGTTGGCACTCTTCAGTGCTCAGTCAGTACCAATGGCTGACCTGTGCATTCACGTCCACTCTCGTCACAAATGTCACAGAACTGAGCACTTCCTGCAATCAATGAGGATCCCCTTTAAGCTAAACCTTTAACGTTTTTTTAAAAAATTTTCTTTCTTTCTTCCATGTGTGAGAGACGAAGAGACAGCACCCACATCAGGGCCCCCATGCAATGATCTCCCCCCAGCCTCTGCCAGCTCCACATCAAGTAGGCCCAGGCAAGTCTTCAGAAGTGAACGTGGGACTTCCCCAAGTGGATCGGACTAGCAAAGCCTCATGTAACCCACTGAGGCGTGGTCCAGGCCCGGACACTTACATTTTTAAACTAGTTTTAGGGAAAATACAGCCTTTGTATCCAGATGTACTGATTGTAACTTCACATCACTGGATGACTCAGGACATCAGGAGGAAGCAGAGGAGTGTGGAAAAGCTAAATCCTTGGGATCAGATCCACTCCTGTGACATACTCACTTCTTCACCAGTCAGACTGTAGACCTAACACGTGCCAGGGACAGTAGCAAAACAGCCTTAATTTTTTTTTTAAGAGAGAACTTTGCAACAGGGCACATGCACTCACAGAGAGATAGAAAGAGACAGAGAGATAGAAGGCAAGACATCACCCCCCCAGGGGGAATGACCATGTCACCATCCCTTCTCCTCCATTCTCCTCTCTTGGGACTTTGGGCATGCACACATACACACCCGGCATGAGTTTCAAGCTGCCAAGTTCAGGACTTGAACCATGATCAGCTATGTAGGAGTCCAATGCCATAACCATTACACCATCTGCTGGTCCCCAGACTAAATTCTTGTCCTTAAAGAATTCATAGCATAGACGAGAGAAAGTCATTAAAGGAATGTTAAAAATAAACGTGGATTATAGATTGTGGTGAGAGGAGAGAAAGAGCAGGGTGCGTGATAATAGGAGAGACCTCATTTAAATTGGGGTGGTCAGGGAAGGCCTCCCTGAGGAGGGAATATTCAAGGCAAGGCTGGAAGGACAAGTGGGAAGGAGACAGGCGGAAAGGGGGGAATAGTACTCCAGGAATATGGAATCTTGCTTATGTGGAGGCCCTTAAGTGGAAAAGACTCCGTGCTTTTACGAACTGAAAGAAATCCAGTGTGGTCGAACATAGAGAATAATGAGGAGAGAAGAGGCTGAGAGGAGGGCGGTGGCCGGATGACGAGCCCCCGTGGGTCGTATGTACGGTGATCATGTGTCTGGTTTCACAAGGACAGTCTGGTTTGGGCATGATGTCCTGGTATAATTATTAGTAGTTCCCTCTTCCCTCTTAAAAATGTCCTGGTTCAGACAATAATTTATATAGTCACTGTAGCTATATTAAACAGCATGGGTTTTATTCTAAATGTAGTGGGGATTATTTTTTCTTTTTTTTCTTTTTTTCTTTTTTTAGTTTTGTATGCTTGTGCTCACCAGAGAAAGAGTGAGAAAGTGGGAAATTGCCCTCAGGGAGATGGTCTTACTGCAGTCCCTTCTCCTTTCAGGATTTTGGATATGATGCACACACACCTGGCATGTTGTTCAAGCCAGGTTCAGGACTTGAACCGCTAAGTTGGCTGTGTGGGATCCAGTCACCTTAACCACCATGCCTTTGGCTGGCCCAGTGTAATGGGAATTCTTTTTTTTTTTTTTATTATCATCATAATCTTCTTTCTATTACACTAGATTACATATAACTTTACATTGACTTCCATTGCTTTTTCAAAAGGGAATGCCATGCATGTCAGTCAATACAGAGGCATCGATCTCCCCGCTTTATCATTCAATATCTTTTCCATGCTTTTCCCAATAATTATTATTATAATTTTTTTAAACAATCAATCACTATTTCTCATTTTGCTTATTAAAAAGACTTCACCCATCATGAAATACTTCCCAGACCGGTTCAGTTGAGAATACTATACATGTCATCATCAACAGGTAATTGGCTGTGTGGGATCCAGTCACCTCAACCACCATGCCTTTACGTCCCCCCCTGTAATGGGAATTCTTTTAGGGGTTTTAAGAAGGAGAATTATATGATGCGATTTACTCATTAAGTGATCGTCATGAGGGGATTGTATGGGCAAAGGTTGGAGTTCAAGAGTTTAAAAGATAGATGGCATTGGCATGGAGTCAGAGAGCGACAGGGAGGATGATGAGATGCTGATCGATTCAAAATTTATTTTGAAATTAGAATAGTTAAATCATAGTGATGAATTCAATGAAGCAGAAGACTCCTTCAAAAACAAGTTTACTCCTAGGTAAACTAAGTGTCTGGAATTGCCATTTATGAAATATGAATGATTGGAGGTAAATACCAAGTGAAGAATGGAGAAAGGAAAGAACAAGAGCTCAATTCTTTTTTTTTTTTAAGATGTTTTGCTATAGGGTGCTGTGCACTCATGGGGTGGGGGGAGAGAGAGAGAGAGACAGAGAGAGAGAGAGAGAGAGAGAGGAAAAATGAGAAATAACCTGCTGGAGGAATGGTCACACCACAATTCCTTCTCCTTCTCATTTTCCTCTTGGGATTTTGGGCACTCACACACAAGTGCCCAGAGTGATTTTCAAGCTGCTAGGTCTACGACCTGAACCGTGGTTGGCCATGAGGGAGTCTAGCACCTTAAACACCATGCAACCTGATAGCTCCCAAGAAGTTAATCTTTTTAAAATGTATTTATTTCTTCCATGAGAGAAAGAGGAGGACAGAGAGAGAGCCCCAACAGGATCTTACACTGCGATCCACCCCCAGCCTCAGCCAGCCTGGAGCATAGTCACATGTGTGTGTGCACCCAGCATGTACAGGGAGACCTTGGGACACAAACCCGGGACCTTCTGATGTGCACTCAGCATTGCAGAGTGCTGCATTGTTGCTGTGCTGCCACAGCCGGCTCAAGAACTCAGTTTTTCACGTGCTACGTTTGAGATGCCGTGGGAATGCCAGTTGTTTACTCAAGGATAAGTGATTTGCCCAACAGAAATGACAGATAAGTAGGCTTGAGTAGACCTAAGGAGCTCTGAGACACTAACCCTTATCTTCTGACTCTAAACCTTTAATTCTCAGGAGAGCTGCTCAAATGTAGACTCGCGCTTGGCTATCTCTTCATGCCATGTTTCCTAAGTACGTCTGTGACAGATGCTTAGCCTTTGCTTGTGGGCACTTAGTTGCAGCAAAGGTCTGAAGTATATTTACATAAATTTATGAAAATGAAGACCAAACTATTCAACTCCCAAACTTTTCTGAAGAAGAAAAAAATATTAAAAAAAGGACGAGGAGGGGGGTCGGAGGGACAGGACAAGGAATGAGATTATGGGATGTGGCTGAGACCCTCCCTTGACAGATGAGGACATCAGGCCTAGGAAGTTTATGAGCTTCCCAAGATGACTCGGGTAGTGGGAGGGCTGGAATGACATCTTCAGGCGTTATCCATCCTGGGTCGCTGTCCTTTCAGAGAGTAGAAACATCTCCAAACAGCTCTCCCATGAGAGCTCCTTTGGTAAATGTTTGGATGTGATAGGACATTTTTGTTGTTGGCCCTAGTTAAGGTGAGGAAGACCCAGTTTAGACAGTCTTCCAGTTGTCAGTGGAGCTGTTTTGATGGCTCAGAATCTCCCGGGGTGAGAAGCACATGTGTTCTGAGCCAGCATGCCAGAGTGCCCTCTCGTGTTGGTGCACTGGCCCGCGCTTCTGAGCGCAGCTGACGCGTCCATCTGCTGGGGAGTAGCAGCTGGCTGCCCGGCCAGTCACTGCGGCTGCTGCTCCAGGTAGAGGCAGCTGCTCTGCTGCCAGGTATGAGGAGTGGCGGGGAGCAAAAGGCCGAGAGGACACTCCTTTCGGAGTTCCTTGGTCCTCATGCCGGCTGACGGACTTGGTGCTGTCCGTTGGATGATGTTCTTTACCTGTTCTCACACTGTTGGCCTCTTAGTGAATTAGTGCTTTCGATGGAGGAAAGTTGAAAAGAATTGCAGGTTAAAGGGCGTGGTTGTCATAGTCCTCTCACTAGCTCATGATGCTGGTTGCAGACATGTCCGGGTGCCAATCAGGTTTCAGCCAAGTAACTAACGCATACCAAGCCTGGGAATGAAGTTGAAATTATTGTGCATGAAATTATCCTCACATTCGGCGATCATGGCTAAAGCAATACTTGCACAGGCATTGGGTGTCATGTTTGCCCCAGAGTGACTTGTTCCTTTCATCCACGTCTCTCAGCTGTCACCCCATGTCTGGAGAGTGTGCCTGCAGGCCGGGCTGGTCTGGGCTGTACTGCAATGAAACATGCTCTCCTGGGTTCTACGGGGAAGCTTGCCAACAGATCTGCAGCTGCCAAAACGGGGCCGACTGTGACAGTGTGACTGGAAAGTGCACCTGTGCGCCAGGATTCACAGTGAGTGCCTTGGTCCCTGGAGGAAGAAGAAGGGTACAGCATGGAGTGTATCAATGGCATGATTGATATGACCCTCTGTGAAGGACAGTGAATGTGCTAAAAACAGTCACGTTATTAATGAGAAAGAAAATAAGGAGAAAGTACGAGCTGTACGTAGTCACCTTAGCATGAGGATTGGGAGAGCTGGAAAAAGTGTAGATGTGGCATTAATTTTTAATATAAATATATGTCAGAAAGTATGATGTATAATAATCATTCCTCAAGTAATTCTTGTACTGACTTTCATAAACAACAAAGAAACGACTTTTACAAGTAGCTTATGCATTCTTTTTTTTTTATTTTTATTTTTTGGAGAGATTTTTGCTACAGGGTGCATGCGCTCACCAGACAGACAGAGAAAGACATAGAGACAGAAAGCGAGAAATCCCCCCCCAGGGGGGATGGTCACGCTGCAATCCCTTCTCCTCCATTCTCCTCTCGGGATCTTGGGCATGCACGCACATGCACCTGGCGTGAGTTTAAGCCACCGGGTCCAGGATTCGAACCGCAGTCGACTACGTGGGAGTCCAGCGACACAGCCATTACGCCAACTGCTGGTTCCCAAGTAGCTTATGCATCATTGTCAACAGTTTTTATTTTAATTCCGTAATATCTAGACACATGATACATCAAATTAGCATTTGTTACGCCTTTACAGTTCTATAGTTGTAGCATCTCTTTTTCGGTCTCTGAGAATCTAGACCCTACAAATATGCCTCCGTGCCAAAAGAGCAGAACTCTCCCCACAATTCCTAGAAGTTCCCAGCTATAGCTTGAGAGTCTTTGTTTTAAAAGAAAAAGCATTACCCTTCAATTATTGGGTAGTCATGACTTTATTTCCTCCCGTTTTCAGAGCTCAGTGAGCGTTGATGATCATTCCAGAGCACATAGCACAGGTCTGGAGGATCAGAAAGTCACAGAGCTAAGAGGATCTCTCTAGGGTTTTCTAACCTGTGTCACAGTCCATGGGTTGAACCCTTCGAATAGCCTTCTCCTAAGAGTCCCTTCTGTTTTGAGAGGAGAGACCCTGTAGCCCACTTGGTGGCCTGCTTCTCCATGGTGGCCTGCTTTTCCATGTCATTCTCACTGCTGAGTAAACGGGACCTAGCTGCTGGCCAAGTGTGTGTTTTATCGCCTCATTTCACCCACTCATAAAATTGCACATTAGACGAGCAAGTCTAGGAAATGCTGGCGTCTGATGTACAGTTCATGATTATGTTTATTTATCGACAGTAACTTCGCAGCTTCGATTTATTTTTGTGTATCTACTCGTCGGAGGACTGAGGAGTTCTGTTTTACTTGTTTGTGTTCAGTTCTGCTCTGAAGGCGGTAGGCTTTTGGGAGTCCCATTAAATACTGTACCCTAAGTGGAAGCCGGCTAGCCTTGCCCTTGACTCTCTATTTATATAGTGGTGACATTATAGCAATGTTTTAAAAAATACACTGCGTTAAAATTAGAGAGTATAATTAGCAACGCCAAATATATATTTTTGTTGGCCTGATTTCAGTTGGCAAAACTGCATGCATTTTGCTGTTTGTGCCTGTCTAGGGAATTGACTGCTCTACGCCATGCCCTCTGGGAACCTACGGGATAAATTGTTCTTCTCGCTGCGGCTGTAAAAACGATGCAGCCTGTTCTCCTGTGGACGGGTCGTGCGCCTGCAAGGCAGGTGAGAGTGTGTGAAGGAGTTTTTTATGTGGTCCTAACCCCGTTATCCTCTAAAGTCACCCGAAAGAAGCCAGGATGAGGGCTCTGGCACCATCTGTGCCAAAACACTGGCCTCACCAAGACCCTTGTCTGGTTCCTGGTGCGGGCTAGTACATCCACCAGTCACGGGAGGAGGTTCCCATCAGATGGTCTGTGAAGTTGCTGCCAGCTCCCAGAGTCTGCGAGTCTGTGCTTTTGGGAAGAGTAGACAGCCGACGTGTGTCTGTGCTCCCGAATTCGCTGGCCTGGAGTCATGACGAGAAATGCGGCCAAGCGCAGATTTTGTGAGGCCCTGATCGTACCTGTCCATAGGTGCAGCCAGGATTCTGGGCCCTCACCATGTGCCGCCCACGGGGTCCTACTTTAAAGGCGGGGGCGTCCTTTCAAGCACACACGTTTTTCTCTCTCCCACACGAATGCTCCCATCCCTGATCCCAATGAAGCCTGGCTTCCGCAGTGCCCAGCTCTGCTCAGCAGAGGTGCACACGCTCCATCCAAGTCTCTCCGTCCCCGGTCTCCCGGTCGTGCTTCTCAGTGTTGGCTTCCTTGACAGATCACACAGCACGTGGCTACCGGGGCCCTCGGGGTGCCTCTGTTCGCTTCTGATGGAGGTTTTACATGGTGGAGCCAGTGCTCTTTGCTGTCAGGCTGGGGCCGGGAGGCTCTGCGGTGCATATCCAAGATGTGTCCAATGGGGAACGAGCTTGGAAGGGCTCTGCCAGTCTCCCTCACATGCTCTGCCATCCTTGTCATACAGGCTGGCACGGGGTGGACTGCTCCATCAGCTGTCCCAGTGGCACGTGGGGATTTGGCTGTAACTTAACATGCCAGTGCCTCAATGGCGGAGCCTGCAATACCCTGGACGGGACCTGCACCTGTGCACCTGGATGGCGTGGGGAGAAGTGCGAACTTGCCTGCCAGGTACGCCGGAGCCAGCGTCTGCCCTGAAGTGCTGGGAGGAGCCGGTGGCTGCTCTTGGCAGCTCTCCTGATTCATGGCGGCTCGGTGTGAACCAGTCCAGCAGCTAGCAGAAGCACTGGGTGTGGGATGGGTACAGGGGTGGACGTGGAAATCAGTCGGGTGGCTTTCATGAGGTTTCTTTGCCTTCATCTCTACTCTTTATCCTCCCCACCCCTCACCCTTTATTTTCTTTGCTTCTTGTACACTCATTTCTTGGTGGCAGCCAGTCAACAGCTCTGGTCAAACGGCCAGTTGTACGCCTGTCAACTCTCTAAATATTTTGTTTCATTATAATGGAAATACCCCAGCCTTTGGGGTGGAAAGTGGCAGGGGGTTGGAAAAGAGGGTGGTGACTAATGTCACAGAAATGCTCATCCTAGTAATGAAAGGAGGTTTGGAAACAGTGTCTTTCAATGTAAATAGCTCTGGAGTCCCCAGAATCTCCTAAGATTTCCCCAGTTCAATGCTCACGTTCCCTTGACCTACTTTGGAGATGAATGTCATTAGAAATCTCATACCACAGGCTGACAGAGGGTGCAAAGGGAAGTGCATTCTTTAGTAACCTGCTGACTTCTCTTTCTTCCCGAAGCACTTGGTTGGCTTCTTTCCCTCTTTTCTGTCCCTCTTTCTTCCCATCACATTTTTTTTCTCTTGAGCCATTAAGCATTCTCTTATTGGTGTGTGTTTTTCTGCCTCCAGGATATCATCTGATGGTGAGATAACAATGTGACCCCCTGAACTGAGCCCCTGGAGAAGCCAGGCTCTTCTCTCTCTGGGTTTCCTCCTCATTAAGTACAACCCATTTCCCAAAGTAGAGAGGATCCAGCCTCAGGCTATTCCATGCCCTCCAAGGACAGAGTGAAGTTAGCTTTGCTGCCTCTTATCAGACCAGTGAACAAATTATCAGTATTTGGAGATGGGCTTGAAGAGCACCTTTCACTCCCTTATCTTATTATAGACAAAGCAAAGCCCGGGCATAATCTTGTCCTTTTTTGTACAGTAGAGGAGTGAGGCTGATGAGTTAGTGGTTCACATTGTAGCAAAACTAAGTCCAGTGCAGCCCTGTCAAAGATGAGCAGAGCCTAAACAATGTTGTTTTGTTTTGTTTTAACAAGTTCTAGAGAAATGATTATGCCACCTAACACCTATTACCCATTTATGCTGGTTCCCAAGTTCCTGTCTCTGGGTAATTGTGTATTCCATATTTTTCTTAGTGCTTGGGTAGAGCGAGAGGGATTTTCGTCCTCTTCTGCAACTCTCAGGATCTGGGGTGGGAGATCAGGGCTTATAAATGCAGAGCTTTCTGTTCTCCCACAAATGAAATAATCTCATCCACAAAGAATCGCCTGTCTCATGACTGTTGGACCACCCAAACAGGCTGTGTGGAAAAGCCAGCATCTGGGAGGGGAAGAGCCAGCAAGGTGTGCCAATGCGCACTTAGGGTCTTGACTGGGAATACTTACTGTTGGTGACACTTCTTTGTGGAGCAGAGGTATTCTTTAGGGTAAAGCAACTGTTTTTCTTTATGGTACCATGTATCCACTGGCAACTTACAGAAATGAACTTAATCCAGTTAGAACAATAATTTTTTTCAGTCTTTTGTGAGTCAGTCAGGGTCCTCCCTTTCCACTGAAGAATAGAATGCATTGTAGGGAACATAGAACTATTGATATATTATAAAAAACAATCTTTAAGGACATATTGGCATAATTGGCTTCGCCATTCATATGTCCCAACCATTATGTCAGATAAAACTAAGATTCGAGTGATTTAAAATACCTCCTAAAGCCTGTGTTTGGGGAAGAGATGATACAACGCATGCTCCCGAGCGGTGTTTAGGAGAGCAGAGTACTGTACTGGAATGACTGCGGCCCTTTCCTCTCTCATCCTGGGGTCCCCCAGGCCCTCATTGCAGCCTTTCTGTGTCTTCCACGCAGGATGGCACGTACGGGCTGAACTGTGCTGAGCGCTGTGACTGCAGCCATGCAGATGGCTGCCATGCCACGACTGGTCATTGCCGTTGCCTCCCTGGATGGTCAGGTGAGAGTCAAGGGTTGCTACTTGACAGGGCAAAGCTGCCAATCTAATGCCTAGCACGGTTTCTTGCAAAACAACAACAACAACAACAACAACAACAAAAAACCTGTTCTATTCTGTTGCTAAAGGTAGAATTACCTGAGTCTGAGAAATCTCTGAAAATAAAAGTTTATTCAGCTCATGGTTTGCAGGTCCAAGGGCAGGGGTCAAAGCTAGTGAGGACCTTCTTGCTGATGGGTAACATGGCAGAGGGCACAGGCTGGAGTAAAGCGGAACGTATTTCTGTCTCAGTCCCTCCCCTTTTAAACTCACTGGGATGCAGTCCTGGGGCCCCTCCCTTACTCAATCCTGGTCACTTAGCAAAGGCTCTGCCTCTGAATCCCACAGTTGGATTAAGTTTTCATGCTCTTAATACCTGCATAATGGCTCACCAAACTTAGACACATGAATTTTGGGGAAATACATTCAAACCATAGCATACACCCAGATCAACTTTTCAGGAAAAAAAACAGTGAAAACACAGTGATGTTTCCAGTAAACAAACACAATTTTACCTACAAAGTATTATGCAGAAGCCTACTTATCTATAAACCAGGGCTGATGTTTTTTGTTGTTGTTCTTGATTTGTACAGAGGCACTTCTCATGAGCATACATGTAATTTGGTCCAACTGTCAGAATTAGGCCAGAGCAACAGGAAAAACCTGAATTGCTATGAAAAGTTCAGCAAGACCTCTGTGGTATATTTTGAGCATCAAGGAATGAATGATTGAAATAAACCCTATAACTAGGGTCACTTGAGTGAGGCAAAAATACTAAGTACTAATATTAATATGGTTATGCAAATATTAAAATAGTCATTGCTAGACATTAAAGTTTTAAAACTCTGTTGTGATACTATATGGGTCATGACAAACTCATAATGTCGTTAGTACCAATATTCTATCCATAGGGTGGGAGTTTCTCTTCCTATCTGGATTCCTAGGTTCAGGCAGGAATTTATCAAGCCAACAGTGGTTCAGAAAGAAGAACAGTTTTTGCTCATAATAACAGACTTGCTTAGGCCCAGCCACAGTGGAGCTCGCTGCTAAGACATGTGTTCCACAGGCTAGAGTCACACGCGAGAACTGAGTTTGGTTCCTTGTTTAATCAAAAAGGTCTGGTGCTCCGGTCTGCACCTGAATTCCAGTCATAAAGGAAGTAGAGGCAGGAGGATTATGCCATGGTGACATCTTTTTATTTTTAAAATTTTTTAAAATAAAACAAGTAAAAACAGACTTTCTGAAACACTTAAAGTACTGCCTTCCAAGTCTGTACTTCATGAGTAGAAGTAATAATCTTCCAGGACCACTTTAAATTTCCTACCAGCTATGTAGGAGAGCTCCAATTTTTCCAAAACCACACCAGAGATTAACTGCCTTTTGATGATAGCATCCTAGTGGGTGTGATATGGTACCTTGTTGTGGTTTTGCTTTGTATTGCCCTAATCGCTAATGATATTATCAACCTTTCCATGTGTTTATTGGCCACCTGTATATCTTTATAAGAATGTCTATTGAGATACTTGACTCATTGTTAATTGGGTTATTTTTCTTTATTATTGAGTTATGATAGTTATTTGCATATTTTAGATAAAGGTCTCATATCAGATATATGGTTTGCAAATATTTTACCCCGTTCTCTGAGTTTTTTTTTTTTATGTTCTCAATGGTGTCCTTTGCAACAGAGATGTTTTTATTTAAGTGAAGTTGAGTTTATCTATTTTAAAAATTTTATTGCTTGTGCTTTTGGTGTCAAACCAAAAACCCGTTGCCTAATCCAAGGTCACAAAAATTTATACCTATGTTTTCTTCTAAAAATGCTATAGTTTTAACTGTTACATTTATGTCTTTTATCTCTTTAAGTTAATTTTTATATACTGTATGAGTGAGGAGACTAACTTTATTCTTTTGCATATGGATAACCAATTGTTCCAGCACCATTTATTGAAAAGGCTATGCTTTCTCCCTTCAAACTGTGTTGACATCCTTACCAAAAATCTAATGTGTGTGTATGTGAGAGAGTTTATTTTTGAACTCCATTCTATGCTGTTGGTCCCATATATCTATTTTTATGTCAGTACTATACTAAAATTGAGAAAGGTGAGTTCTCCAACTGGTTCTTTTTTTTCAGTATTATTTTGGCTATTCTGGGTCACTTCAGTTTACACATGAATTTTAGGATCAGATGTCTGCAAGAAAGCAAAGTCAAAATTTAATGGGAATTGAATCTATTCACCAATTTCGGGAGGATTACTAGCTTAAGAATATTCATTCTTCAGGTCTTTGAACATGGGATGTCATAAGAAGTCTTTTCAGTGGTATCTCTCAGCTGAGGATGTCTTTGGTTTCTGACGGGAGTGAACTGAGGTGAACTGTCATGTGCCCAGTTTCTAGAGCCAGAGTGCTACCTTGGGAAACAGGACGGGGCTAATGCAATAGACTTCATCCTTCATCATTAGGAATGACCTACAGGAAAAGGCCTCCTTAGCTCTGGAGTCTTTTCTTGACTTGCAAAAGATGATAGATGTACTCTATGAAATTCCACTTTTCCGCATTTCTGTTTGGCTCTCTGTTACCAATTGTTAAAACTGCATCACACCAGGAATTAAACCAGATTCGTGACTGCACTAGAGTTCTTGAAGTTCTCAAGTGGCATGATCAGAAATATGGGTTGTCAGAAAAGTAATGCCACATGACTTTTCTAACAGCCCAGTACTTCCATAATAACCACAGCAAGGTGAAATAGCATCTTAACCTTCTGGCATATGCAGAACTTTCCTATCAGAGAGACCATGTCATTCGTTTTGGGTCACACCCTAAATCTACTTTGGTCTTATGAATATAGAGAGAACGTAAGGTGTTTCTGAACAGTCACTGCTCAAGTACCCACCTGCTGTGATTATTTAGAACCAGCCTGTGAAAGGCACAACTCTAGTATACATGAGAAAAGCCACAGATATGATTTGGCCTGAAGCCAGCCAGAACGTGTTAGCTGCATTCCACAGTCTGGGTCATGGGGTAAGACAAATGATCCCATCTGGCCTTAGACCTGTCAAGCTCCTGCAGGAATAAAAAAAAATGAATGCAGTGGCTTTGTCATACAATGCAGTCTTATAATACTCTGTCCATCTGTGGCTGGACTGCTTCTTCAAAACGGAAGTTGCTTTGCCACCGCATCTTGCTCTACTGTCTGTTGCCGACCACCTTGTCATTTCCTGCTAAGTCATTATTGTTTCTAGGGCAGCAAAGATGCCCCAGCATCTCATTTCTTTGGATCCGTGTGGGCTGTTGGTCCATAAACATCTATCAGCCTCCAAGCCTGGGGTGAGGTCATCCCCCCAACTCACAGAACACCCTCAGTACATGCAGTCATGGGTAAAGGAAAAGACCATTCAAAATTCATCTACAAGTAGACCAAGTATTGGCTTAGTTTTTACAATGAAAGAGATTCTGCACATGACTTACACAGCACATCATTGCATTGCCAATTTGGGATAGACTTATTTCTCATCAATAAACTTGTTTTGAGTAACTACCTTGTAAGGACCTTTCTCAATATAAAGAGGGCTTTGCATTTCAGTTAGACTCAAGATTGGGGACCAAACACCATAAGCCCAGGGAGGCATGAAAATCTACTTCCTCTTCTCGCTGTTGTGGAGACTGCTCTAGGTGAAATGTCGAGCATCGCTGGAGAGAGTGGTAGTGTGTGGGGTACTAGTGAGGCTTTTGTGGGAAAATCAGTGAAATTTAACCCAGGGCCAGTCATCTCATCCTGACCCAATCAAGAAGGTGGTGTAAAGGTGGCAGTTGTGCCTAGCCACTGGGGTCACTGGGGAGAGACTCATCAGGCGAGTTTGGTGCCCGAGACAAGGAGCATGAGAACCGCATTTCCTTTGACAAAACCAACACTCCTCAAATGAGGCCGTCACACCTGACCCAAGAGACCAAAGAAGTTAGACCTGCTGTCTAACCATGTGGATCCTCCTTACAGTTCATACCTTCACCCTGTTGTCCACTGTTGGATTGTCTTTTTCTCTTAAAGGAACTGAGGCTTTTATATCTACTATAATCAATAATCCCATTTTTGGGACCAGCAGTTAGTGTAATGGCTATGTCGTTGGATTCCCATGTAGTCGACCGCAGTTTGTGTCCCGGACCCAGTGGCTTAAAACTCACACTGGGCGCGTGTGCGTGCATGCCCAAGATCCCGAGAGGAGAATGGAGAAGGGATTGCAGCGTGACTATCCCCCCTGGGGGGTGATTTCTCGCTTTCTGTCTCCTGTCTCTCTCTGTCTTTCTGGTGAGTGCGTGCACCCTGTAGCAAAAACCTCTCCAAAAACAAAAAATAATCTATTTTTACCTAGTCATAAAAGAAGTCTTCAAAATGTATTACTAGAAAAATGAATCAAAATAAAAGTTCTGTTTGACATCCCGGGTACTATTTCTAAAGGAAATGTACCGTTTTTCAAAAGATTAAAGCACGTACTTTTATTAGAGATGATTATGTAAAACTTTCATTGATGAAGTTTTTTTTTTTTTTGGAGAGGTTTTTTCGCTATAGGGCACGTGCACTCGCCAGACAGACAGACATAGAGACAGAAAGCGAGAAATCACCCCCCAGGGGGGATAGTCACGCTGCAATCCCTTCTCCATTCTCCTCTCGGGATCTTGGGCATGCACGCACACGCGCCCAGTGTGAGTTTTAAGCCACTGGGTCCGGGACACAAACTGCGGTCGACTACATGGGAGTCCAGCGACATAGCCATTACACTAACTGCTGGTTCCCTATTGATGAACATTTTTGGCCAATGGACTATTCTATCAAAAATTGGCAGATCGTAGGGCCAGCAGTCGGTGTAGATGTTGGGTGCTAGACTACCATATGGCTGACAGTGGTTCATGTCTCTGACCAGTGGCTTGAAACACACACTATGCATGTGTGTGTGCATGCCTAAAAGGAGAGG